CCAGCCTTCTGGTTAGCAGTCAAATGCCTTAGGGCTATGCTACCAGAGCTCCTGGAAAACAGTATAGTGCTTCCTAAAAAAGTTGGAAATAGAAATACCATTTGATTCAGCAATCTCACTACTAGGTATTTATCTTAGAGAAATAAAAGCCACATCATGGCTTTTATATGCACACCTCTGTTCACTGCAGCATTATTCACAATAGCAAAGAGATGGAAACAACCTAAGTGCCCATCAATGGATGAATGCATCAATAAACAATGGTACATACACACGATGGAATACTATACAACACTGAACAATCTGCAAAACACCTCATAACATGGATAAATTTGAAAGATATTATACTGAGTGATGTCAGTCAATCACAAAATTACAAACATTTTAAGAGACCACTATTACAAAATAAGGAAAAGTTAACATACAGAAAGAAATACTCTTTGATGGTTACCAGGGATGGGAGAGGTGGGGAGGGGAGGGAAAATCATTGACTAGGTAAGACACATGTCTTAATTTAGGTGAAGGGAAATGCAATGCATAATGGGATACTGTGTGATAAGTATAACATCACTAAGGCAAAGAAAGAAACCAAGAGGTGCATAAGAGTTACAGACAACAGAGGTAAATACTATTATGTACACAATCCTGCAATATCAGTAATAACAAACAATAATCCACAAGCAGATACATACGCTGACAGGTAGCTGTAAGCTGAATAGGTAGTATAGACGAATGGGAGTACATTTACCACCGTATACAGGCTTCACAGAGATTATTTCTACATATGTATTTGTAGGTGCTATAAAGATATCCATTTAAGTAGTAGAGCAAATGGGGCAAAGTTATTGTAACCTTTTAGTCATAACCAAACATCCTGTGGGAATGGGCTTAGGGGCTAAGGACCACAGTCTCAGGGACAGCTAAGTCACTTGGCATAAAATAGTTCATAATGACAATGTCCTACACCCTTCATTGGTATGTAACGACTGGGGTTTTAAAAGCTAGAGAGCCGTCATGTGAAATGTAACTAGCAGTGTCTCAACTGAAAGAATGGTGAAGAAAATAAAAGACTCAAGGAAACAATTAGTCCAAAGGACTAATGGATCATCTGAATCACGGCCTCCACTACCCTGAGACCAGAAGAACTAGATGTTACCCTGCTACCACTACTGACTTCTCTGATTAGGACCAAAGAAGGTCTCAGACAGATTGGGAGCAAAAGGTGGAACGAAATTCAAAATCTCAAAAAAGAGAAGACTTACTTCACTGACTTATTTATACTGATGGAACTCCTGAAACTGTGGCTCTTAGACATCCTTCAAACCTGGAAGTGATCCCATCCCCAGGGATCACCTTGCAGCCAAACAAAAGACAGGCTTGTAAATTGAACAGTAACACTTGTGAAGAACTTATTCCTTAGAATAATCACCCATATGAGAGCAAAAACGCAGCATTTGGCCAAAAACATAGCTCAGAACACAGAAAGCAGCAGGAAAAAAGAAGAATAGAAACAGGGAACCAGGGGATAAGGGGACAGGAAGAGTGCCATTAATCAAAGGAATTGCAACTAATATTACAAAACGAAATGTGTATAAATTGTGGAATGGAAAACTAATTTGTTCTGTAAACTTTCACCGACACCACAATAAGTAAACAAACACAAAGACTATATGATTTTCCTTCTAATTATTTTTCTCTTGCCAATGTCTTTATCAGGTAAACTAAAAACTATGTATTTCTATAAATATTACAGATTTTAAAACCAATGAAATTACCTGCAAGTTCTTCATGTATAGATTCCTTCTCAGGTTCATTTTCACTTAATTCTACATTGCCTTGATTACTAGAAAAACATTTAATTTAGCATTACATGTTAATACATTTTCATCAATCCTTTGAATTTATTTTTAAGAAATCTCTCAAATCATCGTTCCTCTTATATACCCTTCTGTTAAAAGCTAAACATCTGGGTCTTAAGGGTAAGTGTTTAAAAAATAAAGGAGTTTCAAAGCTTAAGTCTATGTATAGCTGTCAGAGTAATGCAAAGAAAAAAATGCCATTATTTCTTAATTTTATACACAGAGTTTTATCATAAATAAATGCATTTACATGTATAAATATCACTTCGTGATCCAGATCTTTCTATATGAAAGTTTAGCGATAGACCACAAGTCTGGGAAGCAGTAAAGTCCATATGGAGGCAGAAATAATACCAACGTCAGTATTTATTTACACTTGGAATTGGACTTCTAGCTTCCTAAACTGTAAGAGAATAAATCCCTGTTTGTCAAAGTCATCTACTTGTGGTATTTCTGTTACACTAGAGAACCAAACACCAGCCTTCAAAAAATATAGAAAAACACAAAAATCATTTAAGTTTAATAATTACTTCATACTATATTTACATACCTAAGTAAAGCTTTAAAATGTGTGGAATCATTAGAATCCAATTCTTTATTTAATCTTGAATAATCAATAGAAGATGTTAAACCTTTCTCAAGCCTGGCAAAAAATTGTTCTTTCTCTTCTTGTTCTTCTAATGTGTCCAATCCCAATCCAAGAATACTATGATTGAGTTCAGAAACTACTAGCTCTAAGTGGAAAGCACAAACATATTTTATAATGTATGGGATAGTGATAAAATTCATTTTAACTATGCATATATTTACATTGTATAATAAATAAAACATCTCTTAAAATGGATAATCTCCTCTCGCCTACCAAATACAGATTTATATTCATCATCAATCTGTAAGGTTGTAAGGCTTCTCTAAAGGTCTAATTTTAAAGCCTTGAGGAAGATGTTAAATCTGTCTACATGATTTAGCATTAAGAGGTTCCAGATAGATATGAGTTAATTTTTTAAAAATCTTGATATAACCATAATGATTAATAACTTATCAACTAATATCATGCACATTACTTACCGTTTGCTTCTAAGCTGTCAATACTTAAGATAGAAGTTCCACTGCTCTTAAGAAATTCTATCTTTTCAGCAGACTCCTCCTCCTCTATTTCCATAATAGGCTGAGAAGTTTTCTTTGTTTTCAAATAGCTTACATTTGTTCCAAGCAGTCCTAGGAATGGGATTTAATAGCTGGATATTTATGTTCAGAAAATGTTTGAGCCACTATGCTAGCCCAATAATACTGTTCTAGAAATTTAGTGTAAAATAAAGTAGCTACAAAATCAATCTCTTGTAAATAAAAATCAGCCATATCTAAAATCTACAAAAGAAGAATTACAATTTTATCTGAGGTATGGAGTAGTGCCTAAGGCATCTGACTGCTAACTAGAAGGCTGGTGGTTCAAACCCACCAGCCACTCCTTGGAAGGAAGACTGGGCAATCTACTTCTGTAGTGATACCACCTTGGAAACCCAAGGAGAGGTATCTTTGAGTCAAATTGACTGGACAGCAGTGACTTTTGTCTTTTGGTGACAGTGTATCTTATTAAATGAATACTTAAAGAATTAACATAATGAACAAGACTGTGTTTTTTATTAGCTTGAAGCACAGGTACTTAATACAGTATAGTACCACATTAAAGAATATCTTCTGCCTTATTCCCCTTGTTTCATACTTTACTGAGGCATTTTTGTTGTCTGACTCTTAACACTACTGGAACTATATTATGGATGGTAAGAACAGTACAGAAAAATACAAGGAAAGTAAATACAATTTAGGATAATAAAGCAGGGTAGAAAAGATGTTTTACTAGTGCCAATATCATTTCATGAAAATAGAAATCAAAATGAAAAGGTCTTTCAAAGTCATTGTTTCTAAACCACTGGGAACACTGGGTGATTGGAGGAAGTAACCTTACACCAGAAGTGTAGGTACTGTTGAGGGAAGGGAGGCTACACAATCTCTCATAGCACTTTGGAACTTTCTCTATGGGTAATATATATTAAATATGTTAAAAATGTTTTATGACTAACAAAATGTTAGAAGATATTAAGGAACCATTATCAATGTTTCTTGGATAACAGTATAATGGTTGTGTTTTAAGAGAGCCCTTATCTTTAAGAGATACACTTTGCAATATGGAAGTGGAATGCTGTCAGAGATATGCTTCAGTGTATTCCAGTGGTAGGAGCTCTGGTAGCATAGTGCCTAAGGCACTTGACTGCTAATCAGAAAGCTGGCGGTTCAAACCCACCACCCACTCCTCAGTAGGAAGGTTGGGCAATCTACTTCCATAGTGATACTGCCTCGGAAACCCAAGGAGGGGTTGCTATGAGTCAGATCCGACTTGATGAAATAACAACAACAACAATTCCAGTGGTGGGGAAGGCGGAGATGGAAGGTGATACAGATGAACATGACTGGCTGTGAATGAATTATTACAATGGAAAGGCAATGAGTATATGGGGGTTCACTCTACTATTTCTACTCTGAATACGTTTGAAACTGCCCTATCAAATTCTATGTTGTTGTTGTTGTTATTTGCTGTAGAGTTGGACCCGACTCATAGCGACCCCTCCTTGGGTTTCTGAGGCAGTATCACTATGGAAGTAGACTGTCCAACCTTCCTTCCGAGGACTGGCTGGTGGGTTTGAACCTCCAGCCTTCTGGTTAGCAGTCAAGTGCATAAGGCACTACGCTACCAGAGAATCTGCCCCTATGCAATGACATTAATAAAATGTCAGAATATTCTATTAAATCACATACATATTGTTGTATATATGTATTATTTGCCACCTTAATTTGTGTAAATATAAATGATCTCAATGTAAAATAGCCTAAAAATGCAGAAACATATTCTCAATTATATAATAAATATAATAAAGTGAAGTAATATGAAAATCAATTCAAATCTCAAAATTCTACATTATGAGCATTTTTTTTTTTTATATTTTTATAGTTCAGTATTCAAATACAGAATTAAAGGTCTTCACTGACCCCTTGTGGTCAAATAATTTGAAACAAAATAAGCGATATTTACCACCATCTTCAAAATCATCTTCAGTTATCCACCATGGCACTGCATCTTTCTTCTTTTCTTTTTTAGTCTGTCTGTGTGTTTCATTTGAATTTTCAAAAGAATCATCTGAAAGCTGAATCAGACACAAGTTGCTGAATTCTAAAATACATTGAAAATTAGAGAATCCCACATTCATATCTGAAAATGTTTTTATTAGTACTGAGTTCAGCTATCAACACATAAACGATATTTTCAAACTCCATAATACATAAATTAACATTTCCAAAAATATGTGACCAATATAACTGAAAATCAAACATATATGTCTGAATACCTACCTCATATCTAGAATAAAGTAAGTAGACTATCCAGGGAGAACAACAACAAAGGAAATAAAATTTGACTAAGCCAGAAAAATTGAGGAAAGGGCAAAAAGAAGGCAAGCATCCATCTTCTAGACATTTTCTAGAGTCTGAAGATAAATCATGGTTGATTAAAATTACCTAGGAGTACTGGTGGCATAGTGCCTAAAGCATCTGACTGCTAATCAGACGGTTGGCGGTTCAAACCCACCAGTCACTCCTTGGAAGGAAGTCTGGACAACCTACTTCCATAGAGATACTGCCTCGGAAACCCAAGGAGCGGTCGCTATGAATGGGATTTGAGTTTGTTTATTTTTTAAGGAGTACTCTAGAAGAATATGAATTACAAGACCAGGAGGAACTGAGTTTTAGCGGGTAGAGAAGATGACAGTGTTTACCAGTGGAATGAGCATTTTGTCACAAATTTATAATTCAACAAACTTTAAGAAACTCAAAAGTTCTTATTGTGTGTGTGTACGTACAGCAGATTTAATGCATACTTACATACAGCTTCAACATTACTTAAACCAACCTTTTTATTTGTCAGGGTCTTTCTACTTTTCAATTTGTCATTCCTGGCAAAGTAGACCATATGATTGTCCAATTGTTTAATTTAAAATGGCCAATACCAGTCATTTTCAGCTCACTAATGCCTAGGACATCGGTCTTTATGAGTTCTACTTCATTTTTGACAAACTTCCAGTGTTCCTAGATTCATACTTCATACCTTCCATGTTCTAATTATTAATGAATATTCGTAGCTGTTTCTTCTCATTTTGAGTAGTGTTACAATGGCAAAAAAAAGCCCCTGAAAGCTTCATTCCATGCATACAATTAAGATTGACTCCATTTTGAGGAAGCAGCTTTCCCCAGTCATATTTTGAGTGCCTTCTAAATGTAAAGGCTCATATTGACAATGTTTCGCTGTTATTCATAAGGCTTTCAGAGGCCTATTTTTCCAAAGTAGACTGCGATATCCTCTTTCCTAATTTGTGTCAGTCTGGAAGCTGCACTGAAACATGTCCACCATGGTCACCTTGCTAGTGTTTGAAATATCGGTGGCACTCTTCGTCGAAAAGAACATCTCAAGCTCTATCTTGAAGTACAATACTGTCAGCGATAGGAAAACATCCATATACCTACAAGGAAGATCAGTTACTATTACTAACATTCAAATTTACAAACCAAACACTAAAGCCAAACATGAAGAAACAAGATTTTTACCAACTTTGGCAGTCTGAAATAGACCAAACATTTGACTGATTACATCAACCAGGATTTATTGATAATTACTGGTAACTGGAATGTGAAATTTGGAAACAAATAACCATTAATAGTTGAAAATATGTCCTTGGTGAAAGAAATTATGCCTTTCTAAGACCAATGACTTATTCATTGCAAATGCCTTTTTTCAACAAAATAGTGGTGTCTAAATACATGGACTGTGCCTGATAAAATATGCAGGATTCAAATCCACGTCTGTGGAAAGACGCAATGAAGAAGCTCAATACCATCAGTCAGAATAAGGCCATGAGCTGACTGTGGAAAAGACTATCAATTGCTCATACGCAAGTTCAAGTAGAAGATGAAGTAAATTAAAACAAGTCCATGAGAGCCAAAATACAACCTTGATTATATCCCATCTGAATTTAGACACCATCTGAAGAAAAGATGTGATGCAATGAATACCAATAACTGAAGACTAGACAAGTTGTGGGACAACATCAAAAACATCATATAAGAAAAAAGCAAAAAATCAAAGAAGAATGAAGAAAACCAAAATTCATGGAAACAATTAGTCCTAGAGAGTGGTATACCACCCGATCTGCAGCCTGTGCAACTATGAGACCAGAAGAATTAGATGGTGCCCGGCTACCACTGTCATCCACTTGGAAGGGGATCTATGTAGGAGATCCTTGATAGAGAGGGAGAACAATGTGGAACAAAACTCAAAATCATTTGGACAAAAAAAAAAAAAGGTGGGGACCAGGTTTGCTGGTCTGATAGAGCCTGGTGGAACCACTGAGACTATGGCCCCTAGATGCCCTTCAGGTCTGGAATTTAACCTACACCTGTGGTTTCCAGCCAAACAAAATACAGCATATGAGTTGAACATTTACTTCAAGTAGATACACTCTTTGGAGAGAACAATCATGGGAGAAAGAAGGGCTACTTATGCACAGGGAGACAGCTCAGGGGGCAGGAGTGTAGGTAGGGATGGACACTGGGAAGAGGTAACTATGGGGAGGAAGTGGGAGGGGAGCTGTTGCATTGTGATAAACTGTGGTCAATGACACGAGACAAAGTATATGTGAACTGCTGTATGGAAAGTGAATTTGCTCTGTAAATCTTCACCCAAATCACAATAAAATAAGTAAATAAATAAATAAAAGAAAAAAGCAAAAAATCACAAAACAGACAAGAAAGGAAGAAAAGATCAAAATGGATGTCAGAAGAGACTCTGAAATTTGGTCTTTAAAGCAGAGTAGCTAAAGCAAATGGAAAAAATGATAAAATAAAAGAGCTGAATAGAAGACTTCAAAGGGTGGCTCGAAAAGACAAAATAAAACATTATAATGAAATGAGCAAAGACCTGGAACTAGAAAACAAAACAGGAAGCATACACTCAGCTTCCCTCAAGCTGAAAGAACTGAAGAAAAAATTCAGGCCTCGAGTTGTAATATTAAAGGATTCTATGGGCAAAATACTGAATGATGCAAGAAGCATCAAAAGAAGAGGGAACAAATACACAGAGTCAGTATATCAAAAAGAACTGGTCAATGTTTAACCATTTCAGGAGGTGGTATATCATCAAGAACTGATGGTATTGAAAGAAGAAGTCAAAGCTGCACTGAAGGAATTGGTGAAAAATAAGGCTCTAGGAATTGATAAGGAGCTCTGGTAGCATAGTGGCTAAAGCACTTGATTGCTAACCAGAAGGCTGGCGGTTCAAACCCATCAGCCACTCCTCGGAAGGAAGGTT